CTCCAGTTCTATATATATATATATATATATGATATATATGAGCCTTATATACAGGTACTTACAGTTCTGACTAAAGTATTTATTTGAAACATAAGTTTTTAAATATACAGAAATGATAATTGAAACCTATATACCTAAAATTGATAGTGAGTTCTATAAACTGTTCTCTACCAGGAATATTCATTATGAATATGTGAAGATAACCTTATCAATCCAATAACATTATTTGATGTTCAAATTTTATGATTGTTTTATTGGTTGACAATATATAGTGTTACTGAATACATAGAGTCTTTATTGCCCATAAACATTTACATCTAAGGGCCATAAGGGTTTTGATTTTATAGACTATATCAAGGGTCTGAAATGTGTGTATATGAACCTTGCGTGAGGCCTAAAAAAAAATTGTTTTCCCTCCAGCGTCCATCCCTAGCTCACGGAAAATAGGGGCGGCGATTTTGTTTGTTCACAAATTTTAAAAAGTGATTTTTATTTTTCTCTAGTTACACATGAATGTTGTCTACATTTGGTGTCTGATGTAAGGTATTGCAAAATGTCAATTATGAGTTTTTTTATTCAGTCTGATAAATAAAAACAAAGAATGAGACATTCCTGATGATGACATAATTAATGTCGAAATATTGAATCCCAACACGATGGCGTGTATTTCAATACTTGGAGTATGTATTATACTTTCTTATCTGAGATTAATCAGTGGACCTTTCGGAGACAGGCTTAATTGCAAGCATTGTGATTAAATACCGTATGTCAATTTTGGGTTACAGAAGAAAAAAAAAACTTGGAAAAAGGCCCGCGACGTACTATACAATTTTCAACATTAAAGGGCATGCAAACAATTATTTTTTAGGCCTAATATATTTCTGATATTTTTATAAATATAAATGTTTACTTTATTGCTGCAATGGACAAAGGATTCGAAGGGAGAACAAAAGCTCCCACATGGGATATTGCTTAGAAATAAATATTGATCAGTGGCGGGTCCAGTATTCGAAACAGTAAGAGTCTAAGGAGAGACTCACACAAATTGAGGGTCTAGACACCATGGGGACAGGCTGTGACACGAAAATTGATGATTATGGAACCTCTAGATGGCTGGAAATTTTAATTATGGGGCTTAAATTTGAATATATTTTTTTTCCTCCATTTTTAAAATAATTTTAAAAACTTTAGCGGGGTGGGTGTAGGTGGGAGTTTGAG